CCCTCTATTTTCCCCATTTTTTCACCGATTTTTGTCATTTTTTCACCGATTTTCATCAAATTTTCACCGATTTTCACCAAATTTTCTCCTTTTTTTCCCAAATTCCCCCGTTTTCACCCCAAATCTCCCCCTTTTCCCTCCAAATTCCCCCTTTTTCCCCCATTTTTCCCCTTTTTTCCCCCTATTTTCCTCAAATTTTCACCGATTTTCGCCAAATTTTCACCGATTTTCCTCAAATTTTCACCTTTTTTCACCAAATCTCCCCCATTTTTTCCCAAATCCCCCCCTTTTCACCCCAAATCTCCCCCATTTTCCCCAAATTCCCCATTTTCCTTCCCTTTTTTCCCCATTTTTCACCATTTTCATCATTTTTTCCCCTATTTTCCCCATTTTTTCACCGATTTTTGTCATTTTTTCACCGATTTTCCCCAAATTTTCACCGTTTCTCACCATTTTTCCCCCATTTTTTCCCAAATCCCCCCCTTTTCACCCCAAATCCCCCCCTGCAGGTGATCCCCAAGCGCACCAACCGCCCCGGGATCAGCAGCACCGACCGCGGATTCCCCCGGGGACGATTCCGGGGGCGGGGGGGTGGGTTCGGCTCCCAGCGCTGTCGCTTCTACAGCGGCTACGCACGGCCCCGCGCCAGAGGCTACAGGTATTTGGGGCAAAATCCATAAGTTTTGGGAAATCCAGGGATTGTGGAAGTTGTGGGAATTTTTTGGGAATTTTTGGGATTTTTTTACGATTTTTGTCGATTTTTTTTCGATTTTTTTCGGATTTTTTTCGGATTTTTTAAGGATTTTTTTCGGATTTTTCGGGGTTTTTTAAAGGGTTTTTAAGGGTTAATTTGGATTTTTGGGGCATTTTTGGGGATATTTGGGAGTTTTTAGGGATTGGGAATTTTTTGGGATTTTTTACGATTTTTTAGGATTTTTTAGGAATTTTTTACGATTTTTAAGGATTTTTTAAGCATTTTTTAAGGATTTTTTAAAGGGTTTTTAAGGGTTAATTTGGATTTTTGGGTCATTTTTTAGGGTTTTTAGGGATTTTTTGGGGCTATTTCGGGGTTTTTTGGGATTGGGAATTTTCTGGGATTTTTTACGATTTTTTTAGGATTTTTTACGATTTTTTTAGGAATTTTTTAGGATTTTTTTGGGATTTTTTAGGAATTTTTTAGGGATTTTTTAGGGGTTTTTTTGGGGGTCAATTCTGTCGCTTCTACAGCGGCTACGCACGGCCCCGCGCCAGAGGCTACAGGTATTTGGGGAAAAATCCACAGGTTTTGGGAAATCCAGGGATTGTGGAAGTTGTGGGAATTTTTTGGGAATTTTTAGGATTTTTTTACGATTTTTTGGGGATTTTTTTCCATTTTTTTTAGATTTTTTTCGGATTTTTTTCGGATTTTTTTGGGGTTTTTTTAAAGGGTTTTTAAGGGTTAATTTGGAGGCTACAGGTATTTGGGGCAAATTCCACAGGTTTTGGGATTCTGGGGGGTCTGGGGATTTTTGGGATTTTTTTGGGAATTTTTGGGATTTTTTTGGGATTTTTTACGATTTTTTTTCGATTTTTTTTCGATTTTTTTTCAATTTTTTTCGGATTTTTTTCAGATTTTTTAAAGGGTTTTTAAGGGTTAATTTGGATTTTTGGGGCATTTTCGAGGTTATTTGGGGGTTTTTAGGGATTGGGAATTTTTTGGGATTTTTTACGATTTTTTGGGATTTTTTTGGGATTTTTTAGGATTTTTTTAAGATTTTTTAGGAATTTTTTACGATTTTTTTAGGATTTTTTAAGGATTTTTTATGGATTTTTTAAAGGGTTTTTAAGGGTTAATTTGGATTTTTGGGTCATTTTTTAGGGTTTTGAGGGACGTTTTGGGGCTATTTCGGGGTTTTTTGGGATTGGGAATTTTCTGGGATTTTTTAGGATTTTTTTGGGATTTTTTAGGAATTTTTTAGGGATTTTTTAGGGGTTTTTTGGGGGTCAATTCTGTCGCTTCTACAGCGGCTACGCACGGCCCCGCGCCAGAGGCTACAGGTATTTGGGGAAAAATCCTCAGGTTTTGGGTCATCTGGGATTTGGGGAATTTTGGGGAATTTTTTGGGATTTTTTACGATTTTTTTTCGATTTTTTTTCGATTTTTTTTCGATTTTTTTTGGATTTTTTTCGGATTTTTTAAGGATTTTTCGGGGTTTTTTAAAGGGTTTTTAAGGGTTAATTTGGATTTTTGGGGCATTTTCGAGGTTATTTGGGAGTTTTAGGGATTGGGAATTTTTTGGGATTTTTTTAGGATTTTTTACGATTTTTTTAGGATTTTTTAGGAATTTTTTACGATTTTTAAAGATTTTTTTCGGCTTTTTTGGGGATTTTTTAAAGGGTTTTTAAGGGTTAATTTGGATTTTTGGGTCATTTTTTAGGGTTTTCAGGGACTTTTTGGGGCTATTTCGGGGTTTTTAGGGATTGGGAATTTTCTGGGATTTTTTAGGAATTTTTTAGGAATTTTTGGGGATTTTTTGGGATTTTTTAGGGATTTTTTAGGGGATTTTTTTGGGGGTCAATTCTGTCGCTTCTACAGCGGCTACGCACGGCCCCGCGCCAGAGGCTACAGGTATTTGGGGCAAAATCCAAAGGTTTTGGGAAATCTGGGATTTGGGGAATTTTTGGGATTTTTTTGGGATTTTTTACGATTTTTTTTCGATTTTTTTTTGATTTTTTTTCAATTTTTTTCGGATTTTTTTCGGATTTTTTGGGGATTTTTTAAAGGGTTTTTAAGGGTTAATTTGGAGGCTACAGGTATTTGGGGCAAAATCCACCGGTTTTGGGAAATCTGGGATTTGGGGAATTTTTTGGGATTTTTTTGGGAATTTTTGGGAATTTTTTAGGATTTTTTGGGGATTTTTTACGATTTTTTTTCGATTTTTTTCGGATTTTTTTTCCATTTTTTTAAGGATTTTTGAAGGCTCATTTGGATTTTTGGGGAGTTTTTGGGGTTTTTAGGAACTTTTTTGGGGATATTTCAGGGTTTTTAGGGGTTGGGAATTTTTTGGGGTTTTTTACGATTTTTTTAGGATTTTTTAGGATTTTTTAGGATTTTTTGGGATTTTTTAGGAATTTTTTAGGGATTTTTTAGGGGTTTTTTTGGGGGTCAATTCTGTCGCTTCTACAGCGGCTACGCACGGCCCCGCGCCAGAGGCTACAGGTATTTGGGGCAAAATCCACCGGTTTTGGGAAATCTGGGATTTGGGGAATTTTTTGGGATTTTTTTGGGAATTTTTGGGATTTTTTGGGGATTTTTTACGATTTTTTTTCGATTTTTTTTCGATTTTTTTTCAATTTTTTTCGGATTTTTTTCAGATTTTTTAAAGGGTTTTTAAGGGTTAATTTGGATTTTTGGGGCATTTTTGAGGTTATTTGGGAGTTTTTAGGGGTTGGGAATTTTTTGGGATTTTTTTAGGATTTTTTAGGATTTTTTTAGGATTTTTTAGGAATTTTTTACGATTTTTTTAGGATTTTTTAAGGATTTTTTATGGATTTTTTAAAGGGTTTTTAAGGGTTAATTTGGGTTTTTGGGGCTTTTTTGGGGTTTTTAGGGACGTTTTGGGGCTATTTCGGGGTTTTTTGGGATTGGGAATTTTCTGGGATTTTTTAGGAATTTTTTAGGATTTTTTTGGGATTTTTTAGGAATTTTTTAGGGATTTTTTAGGGGATTTTTTTTGGGGTCAATTCTGTCGCTTCTACAGCGGCTACGCACGGCCCCGCGCCAGAGGCTACAGGTATTTGGGGCAAAATCCACCGGTTTTGGGAAATCTGGGATTTGGGGAATTTTTTGGGATTTTTTTGGGAATTTTTGGGATTTTTTTCGGATTTTTTAAGGATTTTTTTGGGGATTTTTTAAAGGGTTTTTAAGGGTTAATTTGGAGGCTACAGGTATTTGGGGCAAAATCCACAGGTTTTGGGTCATCTGGGATTTGGGGAATTTTTTGGGATTTTTTTGGGAATTTTTGGGATTTTTTTGGGATTTTTTTTGATTTTTTTTCGATTTTTTTTCGATTTTTTGGGGATTTTTTGGGGATTTTTTAAGGATTTTTTTGGGATTTTTTAAAGGGTTTTTAAGGGTTAATTTGGATTTTTGGGGCATTTTTGGGGATATTTGGGAGTTTTTAGGGATTAGGAATTTTTTGGGATTTTTTACGATTTTTTGGGATTTTTTTAGGATTTTTTACGATTTTTAAGGATTTTTTTCGGATTTTTTTGGGGATTTTTTAAAGGATTTTTAAGGGTTAATTTGGATTTTTGGGTCATTTTTTAGGGTTTTGAGGGACGTTTTGGGGCTATTTCGGGGTTTTTTGGGATTGGGAATTTTCTGGGATTTTTTAGGAATTTTTTAGGAATTTTTGGGGATTTTTTAGGATTTTTTGGGGATTTTTTTAGGATTTTTTAGGGATTTTTTTGAGGTTTTTTTGGGTCATTTTGGGTCATTTTGGGTCATTTTGGGACATTTTAAGTCGATTTTGGGTGAATTTGGGTCATTTTGTATCAATTTTTGGTCAATTCAGGTCATTTTGGGTAATTTTAGGTCGATTTTGGGTCATTTTAGGTCATTTTTGGGTCCTTTTGGGTCATTTTTGGGTCATTTCAGGTCAATTTTGGGTCAAGTTGGGAACATTTTGGGTCATTTTAGGTCAATTTTGGGTCAATTTGGGTCATTTTGGGTCAATTTTGGGTCATTTTGGGTTATTTTGGGTTATTTTGGGTCAATTTTGGGTCATTTTGGGACATTTTAGGTCAATTTTGGGCCATTTTGTGTCAATTTTGGTCATTTTAAGGCGATTTTGGGTCATTTTAGCTCAATTTTGGGACATTTTAAGTCAATTATGGGATATTTTGAGCCAATTTTGGGTCATTTTTGGTCAATTTTGGGTCATTTTGAGTCAATCTGGGTAAATTTGAGCCAATTTTGAGTCAATTTTGCGGCTTTTTAAGTCAATTTCGTCCAATTTTGGGTCATTTTGGGTCATTTTGGGGACATTTTGGGTCAATTTTGGGTCAATTTTGGGTCATTTTGGGTCATTTTGGGTCGATTTGGGAACATTTTGGGTCATTTCAGGTCAATTTTGGGTAATTTGGGGTCAATTTTGGATCGTTTTGGGCAATTTTGGGTCATTTTGGGTCATTTCAGGTCAATTTTGGGCCATTTTGGGTCAATTTTGGGTCATTTTGGGTCATTTCAGGTCAATTTTGGGCCATTTTAGGTCAAATTTGGATCATTTTGGGAACATTTTGGGTCATTTTGAGCCAATTTTGGGCCATTTTGGGTCAATTTGGGTCATTTCAGGTCAATTTTGGGTCATTTTGGGTCAATTTTGGGTCATTTTGGGTCAATTTTGGGTCAATTTGCGTCACTTTGCGTCAATCTCCTCCTTTTTTCCCAAAATCCTGATTTTTCTCCCCATTTCTCTCCGCAGGGGCCGATCCCGAGCCACCTCCTGGTACTCCCCATATTAACAAAAAAAACCCAAAAACCCCCAAAATCTCCCCAAAAAAAATCAACAAAAAACCCCCCCAAGGGTGGGGGGAGGGGCAAGCCCGCCCCTCCCCCACCCCAATCAAAAAAACCCCAAAAAACCCCAAAAAAAACCCAAAAAAAATCCGGAAAAAATCCAAAAAAAATCCCCAAATTTTATTTTCAATTCTAATTTTAAGTTTTTAATTTTTCTTTTTCATTTTTTTCCCCTTTTTTCACCCCCAAAAAAAAAAAAAAAATTCCCGAGTTTGTTTTTTTTGCAGGTGGAGCCGAAGACGGAAAAAAAAAAAAAATTATAAAAAATTATAAAAAAAAAATAAATTAAAA